TCAGTTCCTAGGGCGCAGAGGTAGCTCAGTACATTAAGCAGCTGACTTCGGCTCAGATCATGTTCTCCCAGTTCGTGGGTTCGAGCCCTGCGTCAGGCTCTGTGCTGACAGCTCAGAGCCTAGAGCCTGCTTTAGATTCTGTGTCTCCCTCCCTCTGCCCCTTACCTGCTCACACTCTGTCTCTCTGTCTCAAAAGTAAACATACACACATACATAAAAATTAAAAACATAAAAATCAGTTCCTAAGTCACCTTAGCCCCATTTCAAGCGCTCAAAAGCTGCTAGGAGCTACTGAATTAGAAAAGGAAGATATAGACTATACTCATCAGTGTACAAAGTTCTACTAGACCATGCTAGTCTACAAAGACATATACGAACGTAACTGATTTTATCTCTGGTGGCAAATTTATGGCTATTAATTTTCTTCTCTTTTAAAGAATGTTTTATAAGGGCTCCTGGGTGGCTCAGTTGGTTGGGCATCTAACTCCTCATTTCAGCCCAGGTCATTATCTGACAGTTTGTGGCCTCAAGCCTCTCCTCAGCTCTGCACTGATAGAATGGAGCTTGCTTAAGATTCTCTCTCTCCCTCTCCCTGTCCCTCTCCAGCTCACATGCATGTTCTCTGTCTCTCTCTCTCCCTCTTTCAAGATAAATAAACTTAAAAAAAAAAAGTTTTTAGGGGCACCTGAGTGGCTCAGGTGGTTAAGGGTCTGACTTCAGCTGAGGTCATGATCTCACAGTTCGTGGGTTCAAGCCTGTTTCCGATTCTGTCTCCCTCTCTCTGCTCTTTCCCCATTTGTGCACATGCACTAGCGCTCTCTCTCTCAAAAATAAATATTAAAAAAAAAGTTTTTATGATTCTTCTTGTGTACTGTTTTTTTAAAAAGTTACTAAAAATCTTTAAAGCTTTTACAACAAACTCTTAAATGTATATTTAAATATACATTTGCCTCTTACCCCTATGTCTTCACTACATTTATTTTTTTTTACTATTCTCATGGCTCTGTGTGTCACATGACTCTTCTAGTTTCATCACAGGTAAACTAAGTAAAACAAATGAATACATTTAGAAAATACTCCTTTACAAAAAAAGAAAACAAATACTCACCTGTACTGGGGAGGAATTCTAGAAGTATTATGTTTTTTGTGTATTAAAAAAAAAAAGCCTTAAAATCCACCAAAAAAATATGTAATCCTGTTTTCCAAGTGAGAAGCCATATTTACTATCTTTTATTTCTCTGTAGACATTTCAGTTGAAGGTTATCTTCTCACAGCAATAGCTAGATCAACCAACGTGTGCATTATCCAAATTCCTTTCATCCATTCAACAACATTTACTGAATGCCTTCTATGTGCCAAGCATTATAGGTTCCAAGTCACCATTCTCAACAAAGGGAAAGACAAAAAGTAGGGGGAGGGGAAAAGACACACACACATATAAACATGCAAATAAACATATAACATGACAAGAAGTGACAAGTACGAGGAGAAACAAAATGAAGCAAGGCTGGGAAAAGGAAAGGGTGATTAGGGGCGTGAGGTAGAATATACTGTACATAGAACGCTCAGGGGAAACATTTGAGGTAACCTTTGAGGAGAAACCAGAAACCATAGAGAAGAAACCATTTCAAGCAAGGGTAAAACAAGTTCAAAATCCCTGATGTGGGAACATGTTTGCCATACTGAAAAAAAAGGCAAGGGGGTCTAGGTGGCTAGACTGGAACAAGTGAGAGGGAGTGGTAGGAGATGAGGTCAGAGAATAAGCAGGGGAGCACTCCAGGACGCTATGCAGGTCATGGAAAGGACTTTGGTAAGATAGGAAGTTGGAGGCACAAAGTAAAGAGGATCATGCCCATCTCTTCCTGGACAGCAAAAAGCTCCAGCCAAGAGGGAAAAAAACATAGCTTCATAGTCCTAATAAACAGTAAGCATAAATAGTTTCATCATCCTTAAACTGTTATCCCCAACCATCAACTAGATTCTGTCACAAGCCAAAGAGGATCCATTCACCTAAAAAGCAAATGCTCCAATATAGGAAAGAAGCAGAGAAAGAAAGGGGGTAAAAACAGTTCTTCCAAAATACATGATAAATAATTAACAGGGATCGGTATATTCAAATGTTTAAAGGGCAATGACTGATGTCTTTCCTTCCAAGTTTTTATCTCCAAGATTTTATCAGAAAGTTTTAAATTTAAATTCTTAAATATGTGGCTGAAAGGCCACAATAATTACCTTTTTGTAAAAACACGTCAAGTTGATCAGCACAAAAGGCTTTCAATTCTTTCTCAGGTTTGTCCTTCTTGACCAGGGCTACAACATAGTTGGCTAAGGCTGAAGGGTCAGCATCACATCTAGATAGACAAAGAGAAAAAAAAATGTTTTAACTTTTTTTTTAAACAGCAATGTCATTAATGAAGTCACCCCTATTTTGGAAAGCTAAAGGTCAACAACTTTATTTCAAATAAAGTGACTGCGAATAAGTTAAATAAATAAATAAATAAATACTGACTGACTGCAAACAAAGACGATTTTTATAACAAACAGCATACACACATTACAAGCAAGATTTTCCTTTTATGCTTATTTTTATAAAATTGTCTATTTTCAATGTTCTAATTATACCCAGAATTTTGGACCAAATCTACATTGATTTGCATCTCTCAATGGAAACAAGGATGGCAACCAACCCGAGTTGCAGGGCTGTAGAAGCACTGTTCATATCTTCAGGAACTATCTGTTCCATGTGACCGTGAGGAAGAACCAGGGGAAGTGATGGGACACCTTTCCTCATTCCCTATAACCCCAGGCACCAGCATCCAAAAATAGCAATCAATTCCACTGATAATCTTCTCGGTCTCTTGAAGATCTATTTTTTTTTTTTTAATGTTTTCTAACATTTATTCATTTTTGAGATACAGAGAGAACAGAGCGTGAGCTGGGGAGGTGCAGAGAGAGAGGGAGACAGAATCCAAAGCAGGCTC